TCCCTCTCCCTCTGCCCCTGCCCCCGCTCACGCACGCACATTCTCTCTCTCTCAAATAAATAAATCTTAAAAAAAAAAAAAAACCACCATAGCATGGACTGTGGGACATCTCTTTTCAAGTGTTGTTTGTTGTAAGAAGACTATTATCCTATCTCTCAGTTATCAATACATAGTACACTAAATAGCCAGTTCTTTTTGCTTAGGGGTCTTTTCTTTTTCTCTTCTTTTTAAAAAAATTCTTCCTTTAATAACATAATAAAATTTAAAAAATAAAAATAAAAATAAAAAATAAAAAATTCTTCCTTTAGAGAATAAGATGAAACAAAAAGGAAATCTAAACATGTTAGAGGAAAAAAAAAAGCACATGCCTGAGCATATTCCCATATAATAACCTCTCCCAGTTTAAATTTTCCTCTCCCATATGGGGATCGGATTTGAAAATTTCTATGGATTCTCTTAAATGTAAAATAGTAATATAAAGCCTATTAAAGACTAAAGTGAATCAAAGCATCAAAGCTAACAAATTAATAAATCATACTTCTGAGCTCAGTTTAGTTAATTAACTGTCTTCAGGGATTCTTAAATTACTATAAACATTAATTTTTTAAAACTGCATCACAGAGGAACTACAATATAAAACACAAACGGCTCTTCTTAGCAAGCATCTCAAAATTTCAGGCATCCATGTTAAGATTAAGAGTTCTTAAGTAAAAGTCATAGTTACTGTTATGAAAAGGTACTGGTAACTACCCCCTTATTCTATTGCTTAATAAATTCACATTTTCAAAATTCACGGTGAGAATTCCTTCCTCTTAAACTTTGGTTCGCCACAATCCTGTTATTCTTTTCCTGGCCCCTGATGTGCAAAATAGAGCTTGATAGACAAGAGTATCTGAAGTGGGGTAAAAGGAAGTGACAAGGTCTGTTAGTGGTACCTGTCTAGCAGTGCTGGATTGGAGTTCAAGCCAGAAGGAGCTTCTGAGGTGTCTCTGTACACATGCCTGGCCATTGTAGAGAAGTCTCTTGTGGTTCTGAGTTGACCTATGATATCAACTGTGGTTTAGATTTAGATGATCTCAGGGAGACCGGATCAGTTTTGGGGTTAACCAAGAGATTTGGTCCAGAATTTCCCAAACTTCCTGGGGCCCTCCTGTAAATCTTCAAAATAAGAAAAAAACAGAAACTCATAACAGACTCATGGTTCTACTTCAATCCAAAATTTCACCTTGGGTTTGAAACCAGATCAATTTCTGATCATGGAGAGAACAAGATGACATTTCTCTTGGTGGGACTACTGTGCTACAGAACTGCCCTATTGCTTGATTTGCATTTTCCAAAATTATAGAATTCCCACAGGGCACCATGAAGATAGAAATACACCACAGTGCCCAATTCTTATGATTAAACCCTATACTGGGAAAGATGAAAACCTCCAAGAGACAGACATAAAATTTATACACACATTAAGAAAGGTTGTCATGGCAACTTTGCTTGAAGATATGTATTTTTAAATCTAAGTAAATTTAACATTCAAAACACATTTGCATCTCCCTCAACAGTTCTGTATCAAGAATGTTTTTTTTTAATTTTTAATTCCTTCTGAAGCTACACCTCCTTGAAAGCTTAACAAAATCCTATGAATATAATAGCAGCATACTTAAACACGTATTTTCAGAAGAATATGCGAAAAATCCTAAGTAAAAGACCAATAATCTTACTAGTTCCAGAAGCCCTAGGCTTCTCCCTCTAAAACTTAAAATTTTTAGCAGGCTATGCCATATAATCTCTACAAGGCCCTTTTAAGCTCTAAAGATCAATTCTGTATTAGCTGATGACCTTGCCACACAAGTAACAAATCATGAAAATTGAACATACCTAGTGCTGCCGGATAATTACACAACAATTCATACAAATGACTACAGTAAATATTGTTTCTTAATCTACTCAAACCAATTCTTAGTATTGTTTCATCTCACTCTGAAAGTTCTACAGTATTGCTATTTGGCATTAGTGTTGACAGTTTTCCTTGATAAGACCCCTAGATTCTTCTCTTCATGCACTAAAAATAGCAAAAATAATGGTTTGCCCTCTAACTGTTCTTGTGCTTCTTCCCTCACTACAGCCTATAACTGAAGCCTTTCATGTTGTCATGTAATCATCTATAAGTTCTTCCCTATGTCCCTTTCAGCCTCTAACCTAAAGGATTCTTGAGCTACTTCCAAACCCAGGGCCTAGAGAGTTGAGTGCCAGAAGGTTAAACTTTGGAATGTTAAGACTTAGGTTTCTCTCTCCTGGTATAGAGCTCAGAAGAGAGAGAACACAGTTATAATGTCATGTCTGTTTTGTTCATTGCCTCATTCCCAGTGCCTCGCATAAGACCTGGCATGCTCAGTAAAAAACTGTTGCTGGACTAAGTAAGTCCCATTTCTTTGGATAGGAATATAAGTCAGGACAGGAGCATAAGGGAGAATCAGTAGAGCTACAGGGTGCTGTGCTCTCACAGGGAAAAAAGGTAGAGATAAAGGAGTGAGAGAATATGGAATTCAGGTGGCTTGGTTCTAAGACTATAGTTGTTCCTAGTCCAGAGAAACTGTGGACCATGCATAGTTTAAGGAACTAGCCAAGACAGATGTTCCTTGAGACTCCTATTTGTCTCTAGGTCATGTTGGATAAAATGGGTTCTGTTCTATAGAAGACTCCTTCCATGAAAACAGTGGGTTTACAGGATAAAAGGTGTAACTGAAAAGAGGGGAACCTACATCAAATACATTAGGAACAATCAGGGTTATTATATCAAGTTAAAATAGGTTTCTTTACAGTTGAACTTCTCAGCACTCCCAATATATTAGTATTTTAAATATCTGGGAAAGAATATAGTATCAGGAATCTGAGAGTGAATATGATCAAGTAAACTTTTCCTCAGAGTATCTCACAGGACAGTGTTTCATGAAACACACTTTGGGAAATAATGCTCTCGCTAACCTAATTAAACAAAACTGTGTTCCTTAAACATTTCCTGGTTTAATGATATCTGGTGATAGATACAGAAGGGAGAAAGAACTACTTGCTTACCAATATTTTGGTTGATATTTTGTACAACTACAGCCTATTCTAAATCTATGTTCACACCTGATACAGGCATCACTGAAAGATGTACACATAACATCTTAAATACTTCTAGTAATGGGATACTTAGCATATCAACAAAGTATTATTAGCATTAGAGGTAGTTTGGCTACCTGGAAAACTTTTTGAACTATTAAATAATCACCTTTATTCTACATGCACAGAAAACCTCAATGAAGATCTCACTCATTTATTTAAAAATATTTATTGATTGTCTTTTTGGAGACAGGCACTTTACAACTTTAGAACATAGTTACAGTGGTCAAGTACACAGTTTTATTTCCTACTCTTCTGTGTTAAAAATTGTAACAAGAATTTGCAAGTCTTTTAGATATAAATAAATTTGTGGGTTTTTTTTTAAATTACCAAACACAAAAATTAAAAAATAAAATTACCAAACAGGATATTATTTGCTCATGCCATCTTATCACCTGCTATATAACAAGATCCATTCCTAGTCTCTAGATTCAACAAGGGAGTGGAACTGGAAGAGGAATGTCATTTCCTGTCCTTTGGTTTATCGCCTGGATGTTTTACAAAATGGCTCCCAACTCCAATTTTACAATTATCCATTCACTCGGTGTCATCAAAATAAATGTAGTGTTTGATTGACAGATTTTCAAATCTATTCCCATCCCACCCCCAAAATCATTTCCCCAAAGCCCTTATAAAAGTAACAAAGGAAAATGTTGAAAACTCACTAAGCAAACCATATAGTTATGATTGCAATGTGTAAAAATATACATATGTAGAAATAGGAAAAAATTTAATCAGTTATACAGCTACGGTTGAGTTGGTAGCATTAGTTTTCTTTAAGATTTCTTTTAATACTGCTCTTACAATACCCTTTTTAGTCATTTTCTTTAGTTATTATGAACACTGTATCATTTGAAACTATTGCTTGATTCCCTCTTAAATAACAAAATACACCAATAAACCCCACTGAAGATACTAAGATAATTTGAAATTTAGATCTTTTACTTTCTATTTCTTAGCAAATATATGCCTGTATTCATTTATAGTATTTCTTCCAGCAGGAATGAAGAACTATTTTAGCTTGTCACTGAACCTACTGTCAAGCTCTAAAAGACTAAATGAGATAGGTATATAAAGTATTTGGTTTATAACAAACACTCCTTCCACTCCCCTTTCCACTTTGAACTTAACTCTTGCTGCAACGTCCAGTCTCATTCCTTTGTGTCAGTGGAGGTCACTCCAGGTGCCTGAAAGCATCATTGTACGAAGCCTTTCTGGCTGTGCTGATTTCCTCTGACTTCTGTAGTAACAGTAACTGCTTTGTTGTCCTACCTGCCCCACTCTGCCCTCCCCTTCTACCTTAATAATTGGTCTTAGTAACTTAGAAAGCAGGCAAAGGACTGGCTAAGAAGAGAAATAAGGTCACTCAATCAATTTGTTGATATTATATAAGCCTGCCCTTGAAAACAGTGTCCATTTCTCTTACAAGCTATCCTCTCAGGGCTACTAAACCTACTCCGGGATGTTTACTGGTCACGTCCCCACTTTATAGACTCAGTAGAATTGTGTTTAGGCAGTTTTCAATCTGTCAGCATAACCACATGTGAAAAAGCACATTTCATGGGTTAACTGCACTTTTCATGGATCTGGAGGAAAAAAACTGAAGATGGCTTCAAGGGAAGAATCTTAATCTATTCGCCCCAGAGTTAAAAAAAAAAATAGAAATTCTTAAGATTTCCTCTTAAAAGTTGAAATGCCACCTCAATCTGAAATTATATTTTTCTTAGGACAGAAGAATAATTTCATTTTTTAAACGCTCATTGCAACACCATAGGCTGGTCTATGGCTTTAGCAACTCAGATGTACAAACATATAAATTACTGTTTTGATAAATGGAGGAAGAAGTAAAGCCATTTTTAAAGTTGAAAAGAATAGGGATGCCTGGGTGGCTCAGTCGGTTAAATGTCTGCTTCCAGCTCAGGTCATGATTCCCATCAAGTCCCACGTCAGGGCCCTTGCTCAGCAGGGAGCCTGCTTCTCCCTCTACCTGCTGCTCCCCTGCTTGTGCTCGCTCTCTCTCTCTTTGACAGATAAATAAATAAATAGAATCTTAAAGTTGAGAAGAATAACAATACCCACAAAGGGAAAGAGGAGAGAAAAAGAATGATGAAAATCTGTGCTTATGTTCTGAGTGAGAATATTAACGTTTCAATTGTAGAAAACACTACTAGTTCATCAGATATTACATGAAGAGAATATTATATATAGTATGTCTGTAAAAATTACAAGTGGATATAAAAGAGAGTAGAAGCATCTACCCCAGAAGTTTATGACTAACTCCAAGTAGTGGGACTACAGGTGACCAAATTTCCTATTTCTGTGTTTCTGTATTTCCAAGATTTTTCTACAGCAAGCCTATATAATTTTCATGACAAAAAATAGAACATTTTGTTTTTAAAATATAAACTATTTTAAGATAAAGAAGACAAACAAATTTTTACATAGGGTCTATAAATAAGATAGAATCTACTTATATAAGAAAATGGAACTGCACATTTATGAGCTAGATAAAACAGCACATGAGTTTTTCATTTTTCCCAAACACATGCACAGAATCAATTCTGCCTTGAATTTTATTAGCACAAAGTGTGGAAGAGCCCTTTCTTTCCATAAAAAAATGTGTGTTTTTTTTTAAGACATGGCAAGGGGGCGGAGGAGGAAAGGAAGAGAGAGAATCTTAAGCAGGCTCCACACCTGGCGCAGAGCCTGACCCAGGGCTCAATCTCATAACCCTGAGATCACAAGCTGAGCTGAAATCAAGAGCCAAACACTTAACCGCCTGACCCACCCAGGTGCCCTGCGCTGGTGTTTTTAACAGTAAACTTTTCAACAGTTGAAAAGAATGCAGATCAAAATCAGGTAAGAAATAGTTTTAAAAAACCCAAAAAGCTACAGAATTTAAGAGTCCTGCTTACAGTCAAGCTACAAGCCATTAGTGACACTGAGGCTACTTCAATTCCAGTCATTTGATAAACACTAAGGGCCAAGTAAGAACAACAGTGAATGGACTGACAGTATTTTTATTTTTAAAAAATCCTCTAGAAGATAATTTATGTGTAATGTTTTAAATTGGTCACGTAACCATGGATAAAACGTGCTTATTTAGCTGATTCTCTTATTTTCCTCAATTCAAATCATTATTAGTAATTATACATTGGCTCATATATTGGCAATATGCCAATTCTCTCACTCTCTGGCTCAGCTGCCCTGTTTTTGCCTTGATCATTGCTGATCAGGTCTCACTTGCTTTAAAATTCCACTTATCTCATCTGATTTTACTGACACTTGGTTTACATATCAAGTGCCTACTCCTAACTTTCCACTGCCAGTTTCCAAACCAGTTAAGGTACTTGGATAACAAAGGAAGATGCTCTATATCCACAAAACCATACAAAATGATGGGAGGGAATTTAACAGTGTGCCTTTTTGGAAACAACGTGATGCTGGGAACTAAGAATACATTTCACTTACAGTTTTAGAATTTAAATTATTCCATAAATTAAATATTTTTGTCAGAAATAAAAGCTGCATCTAATTACTTAAATTCTGTCTTAATCACTCCTAACTAGTTCTAAAATGTTAGCTATCTGACCATAAACACAGCATAAAATAACTCAATAACTAGGGTACAAAGTGTGGAAGAGCCCTTGAAACTAAAATTACAAGAGGAATTCAGCAGTGTCAAAAATAAACCCACTTGCAGTTATCATTTTTCTTCCTTTCCTCTCTATCTGCACTTGGCATTTCCTCAAGTTGTTGTCTTAAAAAAAAATTTTTTTTCAAGAACAATGTAACCAAAAAAAGTGAACTAAACTACAGTGCTATCAATAAAAAAAGTATTAAATATAAAACTTATCAGTACTCAGTGTAAATTTTCAAAGACAGTTAAAAATATTTTTTAAATAGCCCCAATATTTCTTTGCTTATTAGTGAGGCTGACCCTTTTTTCTAAAAGTTGAATAGCTATTTCCCCTTCTAAAAGTTGTTTATTCATGTCTTTTGGCCATTTATCTATTATGTTTTCTTACCAATTTATTCAAACTATTTATATATCATATGGATATCATCCTTGTCATATATTTTGCAATTTTTTTTTTAATTTGGTTTTGGTTTGTGGTTAGTGCTTTCTTGTTTCTTAATCATTAAGTTCATTATGTGACATAATATGACATAATAGTAACAAATTAGGAATTCAGTTTGTCCCACAATGAGAATTGGTGAAGTAATATAGTGCTACTAAAATTTGCAGCAAAACAGAAGGAAAGACAAGCCTCAATTTTAGTTTGTTACTTAGAAGGAGCACTTCAAAACACATTCAGTCATTTCCAAATGACTCAGAACCATTTAAAATGATGAGCCTTGTATAAGTCATGAAATGAACACTATTATCTGGGAGGCATCAAAGTAAGCAAATACAAGGTGGGTTATTCAACCTAATAACAATGATTAAACATAAGCTAATTTATATTTAGAAAATAAAAATATTAGTCCAAGAAATAAAATTACCCAAGAAATAAAATCATGGGAAGTCCTTGTTTTCCCCCTTTGAAGTGATTTAAAGTATGAAAAGAAGTTAGGATTATGTTTCCCTTTTATGAATATTCAGAAAACATGATTCCCCAAAGTGTGGAAAATAATGTCTCTCTTCAAGAATACTAGAGATCAAACTAAGAAAAATAAAATGAAGATAATGGCATAGAAAGTGATAAAACAAAAACCAAAATACAACAAAAAAAGAACGTGATAAAACAAAAATTAAAACAGAGAGCTTCCTGTTAAAATTATCATTATATTGATGCAATAAGTATGAATGTATTTAATGCATTAAGTCTGACATGCAAAAACCCAAATTTACATAATGAAGTACTAGTAGGTATTTATATTCCATAGTATTACTTGATTTATAAAAGGATTCAATATAAACTTTTTAAACCATCAATATCCTCAAGAAAGTTAAATGTATAAAATTTTAATATCTCTTTGAGACAGTGATCCAAGCTTCTTCCTTGGGTGATGTTACCAGTTCATACTTGGTTTCAATAAGTTGTCCCTCCACAGAAAGTAGGTGCAGCCTCCTCACCAATACACTCAGAAGTACTGTGGTCACCATATATGCAAACCTAGTCAGGAAGAAAGTTGACTGGTTACTAAAGATTAACAATTATGCTTTAATTATACAGACTGCTCATTCTCATCAGCAGTCATCATCAAAATTCTAAGTATAAAGTCTGGCATCTTTCCTTTCTCTATCACTCACCTCAATTCTGGGCATTCCTGTGCGCCTGAGAATCCAAGCAAGGAGAAAGTTTTCATCATCGATTCATCATCAAACCGGTCTGGATCAAATCTAAAAAGAAGGTTTGGAGCAAATCACAACAGAGCTCCATTGGCATTTTGTATATTTGTACTATAAAAACATAGGTATATAATAAAGTCTGAAAAGTACTGAAGATAAAAACTGCTGTCACAATTATATTTTAATTTCACCTATTAGGGGCAGCTCAGTTGGTAAAAGCGTCTGACTCTTGATTTCGGCTCAGGTCATGATCTCAGGGTCATGGGATTGAGCCCTGTGTCAGGCTCTGTGCTCAGCAGGGAGTCTGCTTGAGATTTTCTCCCTCCCTTTCCCTCTGTCCTGAGGGATAGGGCACAGTCCTGGCACAGGCACACACATTCTCTCTCTAAAATAAATAAATAAAAATCTTTAATAAGTTTTACCTATTATGTTCTCAAACTATTAAACATGTATTTAGGTTCTTTCACTAAATGTATTATTTCTAAACAATAAATACAGAATACATTTCTCTGGAACCAGCAAGGAATGAAACTGTGACATGGGTGTGCATCATTTTATGAGATATAAGGATAAATCATACAAAATCACATAATGAATATTTAAATTTAAGAGTGTTCAAAATATCTGTTACATGAGACCATCTCATCAATATGCAAAGCATTTTATACTGCCTCTTCAATTAAAATGTATTTCCTAAAACTGGATATACCAGACTTAAAATTATATTCAATTATATTATATCCAGACTTACTAGTAAGTGAGGGAAATGAAGAGGCTAAGAGGGTTTTTCTTATTGTACAGAATTTCACTCTGTAAAAAGTCACTGGTGAAATGGGATATATAGAAACAACCAAAAACGCACCCACTATGGAACATAAAAATTCCTCTCAAAAAAAATGTTAGGGACGCTTGGGTGGCCCAGTCAGTTAAGCATCTCCCTCTGGCTCAGGTCATGATCCCAGGGTCCTGGGATCAAGTCCCAAATCGGGACTCAGTGGGGAGCCTGCTTCTCCCTCTGCCTGCCGTTCTCTCCCATTCTCTCTCTGACAAATAAGTAAATAAAATCTTAAAAAAAAAAACCAAACCAATGTTAAAAGACCTAAACCGTGCTATGAGAAAAAAAAGAATTCTACTTCATTTTCTTTTGAAAAAGTGTAAATTACCTTTTACTACTCGAATATACTAGACTCACATTATAGTCCACAAAAAATTGTATCAAATAATTTTCCTTTTAAGTTTTTATTTATTTAAGTAATCTCTGGGGCACCTGGCTGGCTCATCTGGCGGAGCATGCAGCTCTTGATCTCAAGGTCATGAGTTTAAGCCCCATGTTGCAAGTAGAGCTTACTTAAAATAAAGTAAATAAAATAGGATTTTTAAAAATTAAATAATCTTGGGGCTCCTGGGTGGCTCAGCTGGTTGAGCATCCAACTCTTGGTTTCAGCTCAGGTCATGATCTCATGGTTCCTGGGATTGGGCCCTGTGTCAGGCTCCATGCTCAGCAGGGAGTCTGCTTGGGAGTCTTTCTCTCCCTCTGCTCCTCTCCCCCCCCTAAAAAAAAACCAACTTTTTTTTTTTTTTAAAGATTTTATTTACTTATTTATTTGAGAGAGAGCAAAAGCAATCACAGAGGAAGAGGGTTCAGCAGACTCGCCGCTGAGGAGAGAGACTGATGTGCGGCTTGATCCCAGGACCCTGAGATCATGACCCGAGCTGAAGGCAGATGCCCAACTGACTGAACCACCCAGGCGCCCCTAAATAAATAAATCTTAAAAAAAAAATTAAGTAATCGCTACACCCAAAGTGGGGCTTAAGCTCACAACCCTAAGATCAAGAGTCACACGTTCTTCTGACTGAGCCAGCCAGGCGCCCCAATCAGCTTTTCCTTTTATCAACTATCTTGAAAATTGAGACCCTAAATTTTACCCAAAGATATCTATGTATTTTTAGATTGAACAAGAATCAAACTTGGGGTGCCTGGGTGGTGCAGTTGGTTAAGCATCTGCCTTCAGCTTAGGTCATAATCTCAGGGTCCTGGGATCAGGCCCTACATCAGGCTCCCTGCTTAGCAGGGAGGCTGCTTCGTCCTCCCCATTTGCCTGCCACTCCCCCTGCTTGTTCTCTTTCAAATAAATAAATGAAATCTTAAAAAAAAAAAAAAGAATCAAACTTAATTTTTCCAATTATTTTGTAAAACACCTCACAATTGGGGTGCCTGAGTGGCTCAGTCGGTTAAGTGTCTGACTCTTGGTTTTGACTCAGGTCATGATCTCCTGGTCATTGGATTGAGCCCCATGTTGGGCTCTATGTTCAGTGTGCCGTCTGCTTCAGATTCCATGTTGGGCTCTGTGCTGAGTGCAGATTCTTCTTCCCTCCCCTCCAGCCCCTCCCTACCTCATATAAACAAGATATATTTTTTAAGATTTTATTTATTTATTTGAGAGAGAAAGAGAGAGAGCGAGAATGAGAGAGCGAGCACGAGTGGGGGGAGGGACAAAGGAAAAGCAGTCTCCCCACCGAGCAGGAAGCCCGATGCTGGACTTAATCCCAGGACCCCGGGATCATGACCTCAGCCGAAGGCAGACATTTAACTAACTGAGCCACCTAGGCATCCCTAAACAAGATCTTTAAAAACAACAACAACAAAAATCCCACAAAAAACCTCACAATTTTAAGGATTAAGAATAAAATGAAAGCCAAACTAAAAGCAGTTTCATCCTAAATACTGAGGGATTTTGTTTTTTCAGCTTTACTAAGTATATTTGACAAATAAAATTGTAATATATTTAAAGTATACAATAGGATGATTTGATATACATACACATTGTGAAAGGACCCACTCTTGTTAATTAGCACATCTACCACATTATAGAGTTATTATTTTGTGTCTGTGTGATGAGAACACTTAATTTCTACTTTCTTAGCAAATCTCAGTTATGCAATACAGTATTAGCACACATCGTCACCATGTTATACATGAGATCCACTGACCTTACTCATCTTATAATTGAAAATTTGTACGCTTTTACTAGCAGCTCCCTATTCCCCCTACCCCTACCCCCAGCCCTGGCAAGGACCATTCTACTCTCTGTTTCTATGTGTTTGACTTTTTTTTTCTTCTCCCAGATTACAAATATAAGTGCTACAATGCAGTTCTCTGTCTGGCTCTTTTCACTTAGCATAATGCTCTCCCATGTTGTGCAAATAGCAGGACTTCCTTCTTTCTTATGGTTCAATAATATTCCACTATATAGACAGATAGGTAGATAAGATAGATGATATAGATATATGTATATGTATATAGATACACACACAGACACACACACACACATATATAGTGGAATATTCACTTCTTTATCCGTTTAACACCTGTTGGGACATCTATTATCAAAAGGACAGGAGATGGGCGCCTGGGTGGCTCAGTCGTTAAGCGTCTGCCTTCGGCTCAGGTCATGATCCCAGGGTCCTGGGATCGAGTCCCACATCGGGTTCCCTGCTCTGCGGGAAGCCTGCTTCTCCCTCTCCCACTCCCCCTGCTTGTGTTCCTGCTCTCGCTATGTCTCTCTCTGTCAAAAAAATAAATAAAATCTTAAAAAAAAAAAAAAAAAGGACAAGAGATGACAGCCTTTCGGCCGGAACTGCCATCTTCCAGTAATTCGCCAAAATGACCAACACAAAGGGAAAGAGGAGAGGTACCCGCTATATGTTCTCTAGGCCTTTTAGAAAACATGGAGTTGTTCCTTTGGCCACATACATGCGAATCTATAAGAAAGATGATATTGTGGACATCAAGGGAATGGGCACTGTTCAAAAAGGAATGCCCCACAAATGTTACCATGGCAAAACTGGAAGAGTCGACAATGTTACTCAGCATGCTGTTGGTACTGTTGTAAACAAACAAATTAAGGACAAGATTCTTGCCAAGAGAATTAATGTACGCATTGAGCATACTAAACACTCAAGGGCGGAGATAGCTTCCTGAAGCGTGTGAAGGAAAATGATCAGAAAAAGAAGGAAGCCAAAGAGAAAGGTACCTGGGTTCAACTGAAGCACCAGCCTGCCCCACCCAGAGAAGCACACTTGATTAGGACCAATGGAAAGAAACCCGAACTGCTGGAACCTATTCCCTATGAATTCATGGCATGATAAATGTAAAGAAAATAAAAGACCTCAAGCCTGTAAAAATGTTTCTCTTAATTGAGTAGAAGTGTGGTGTCCTTTCCACCAAAAAAATATTTAAAGCAAACTTTGTGTCCTAAAAAAAAAAAAAAGACAAGAGATGACAAATGCTGGCAAGGATGTGGATAAAGCAATCTACATTAATGCAATCTCTATCAAAATACCATCAACTTTTTTCAAAGAAATGGAACAAATAATCCTAAAATTTGTATGGAACCAGAAAAGACCCTGAATAGACAGAGGAATGTTGAAAAAGAAAAGCAAAGCTGGTGGCATCACAATTCCAGACCTCAAGCTCTATTACAAAGCTGTCATCATCAAGACAGTATGGTACTGGCACAAAAACAGACACATAGATCAATGGAACAGAATAGGGAGCCCAGAAATGGACCCTCAACTCTATGGTCAACTAATCTTCAACAAAGCAGGAAAGAATGTCCAGTGGAAAAAAGACAGTCTCTTCAACAGATGGTCTTGGGAACATTGGACAGCCACATGCAGAAGAATGAAACTGGACCATTTCCTTACACCACACACAAAAATAGACTCAAAATGGATAAAAGACCTAAATGTGAGACAGGAGTCCATCAAAATCCTAGAGGAGAACAAAGGCAGCAACCTCTTCGACCTCAGCCATAGCAACTTCTTAGAAACATCGCCAAAGGCAAGGGAAGCAAGGGCAAAAATGAACTATTGGGATTTGATCAAGATTAGAAGCTTTTGCACAGCAAAGGAAACAGTCAACAAAACCAAAAGACAACCTACAGCATGGGAGAAGATATTTGCAAATGACATATCAGATAAAGGGCTAGTATCCAAAATCTATAAAGAACTTATCAAACTCAACACCCAAAGAACAAATGATCCAATCAAGAAATGGGCAGAAGACATAAACAGACATTTCTGCAAAGAAGACATCCAAATGGCCAACAGACACATGAAAAAATGCTCAATATCGCTCGGCATCAGGGAAATCCAAATCAAAACCTCAATGAGATACCACCTCACACCAGTCAGAATGTCTAAAATGAACAAGTCAGGAAACGATAGATGTTGGCGGGGATGCAGAGAAAGGGGAACCCTCCTATACTGTTGGTGGGAATGCAAGCTGGTGCAGCCACTCTGGGAAACAGTATGGAGGTTCCTCAGAAAGTTGAAAATAGAGCTACCGTACGACCCAGCAATTGCACTACTGGGTATTTACCCCAAAGATACAAATGTAGGGATCCAAAGGGGTGTGTGTACCCTGATGTTTATAGCAGCAATGTCCACAATAGCTAAACTATGGAAAGCGCCAAGATGTCCATCAATAGATGAATGGATAAAGATGTGGTATATATATACAGCGGAATATTATGCAGCCATCAGAAGGAATTAAATCTTGCCATTTGCAATGACATGGATGGAACTAAAGGGTATTATGTTGAGCGAAATAAGTCAATCAGAGAAAGACATGTATCATATGATCTCACTGATATGAGGAATTCTTAACCTCAGGAAACAAACTGAGGGTTGCTGGAGTGGTGGGGGGTGGGAGGGATGGGGTGGCTGGCTGATAGACATGGGGGAGGGTGTGTGCTATGGTGAGCGCTGTGAATTGTGTAAGACTGATGAATCACAGACCTGTACCTCTGAAACAAATAATACATTATATGTTAAAAAAAAAAAAAAAGAAGATAGTAGGAAAGGAAAAATTAAGGGGGGGAAATCAGAAGGGGAGACGAACCATGAGAGACTATAGACTCTGAGAAACAAACTGAAGGTTCTAGAAGGGAGGGGTTGGGGGGGATGGGTTGACCTGGTGATGGGTATTAAAGAGGGCACGTATTGAATGGAGCACTGGGTGTTATACGCAAACAATGAATCATGGAACACTACATCAAAACTAATGATGTAATGTATGGTGATTAACATAACATAATAAAATAAAATTTTTTTAAAAAAGGGAACTCTTGTATACTACTGGTCTGAATGTAAATTGGTACAGCCACAAGGGAAAATAGTATGGAGATTCCTCAAGAAATTAAAAACGAAATTACCGTATGATCCAACAATGCCACTTCTGCATATATATTCAAAGGAAACAGTGTCATTATCTTGAAGAGATACCTGTACTCTCATGTTTATTGCAGTATTATTGGGCCCTAAAAAAAAAGGAAATCCTGATATTTGCACAACATGGATGAACCTGAGCGGAAATCATAAGCCCGCCACTTAACCAACGAAGCCACCCAGGCAGCCTGGTATACTTTTCTATTTATATTTGTCACTCTCAATTTCTTTCATCAGTGTCTTATAGTTTTCAGACTATAGGTCCTTTACTCAGTTAAATTTATTCCTAGGTTTTAGAGGTTTTTTGTGTAATTTTAAATAGGACTGTTTTCTTAATTTCTTTCTCCTAGTTTGTTATCAGTATACAGAAATGCTACAGATTTCTGTGTAATAATTTTGTATCCTGAAACTTTACTGAATTCATTTATTAGTTCTAATAGTTCTTTGATGGAGTGTTTAGGGTTTTCCATATATATCACGTCATGTGCAAATAGTGACAATTTTACTTCTTCCTTACCAATTTGGATGCGTTTTATTTCTTTTTCTTATCTGATTGCTGTGGCTAGGACTTCCAGTACTATGTTGAATAAAAGTGATGAGACTGAACATCTCTGTCTTGTTCTTGATCTTAGAGGGAAAGTTTCAGCTTTTCACCACTGAGGATGATGTTGGCTGTGGGTTTGTCATATATGGCCTTTATTATGTTGAGTTATGTTGTTTGGCTATTCGAGGTCTTTTATCATATCATACAAATCTTAGGATTATCTGTTCTAGTTCTGTGTAAAATACCATTGGTATTTTGATAGGGATTGTACTTCGTTAATGTGGAAGCAGTCAAATCCCTTCCTGAGAAAGACTGGAAGATGGGCATTTGCCTGCACCCTTGGGATTAACCTTGGCGGCTAGCCACAGTAAATACCTGCATGCTTATTAACAAGTACTTCTTTGTTTGCTATTGTCCTATGGTACTTATGAATACAAGACGCCCTGGCTATCAGAGTTAGGTAATTTGGGGCATGTCCCTCAGATAGCAGCTATAAAATTGAGGCACTAGATGTGTACACAAGGGAGAGGCCTATGGCTTGGTTTTATTGTTGGAGTGAATTGGGTGCAGGTCATGCCCACTGGCTCCTGCAGGCTTCAGGGAGGATCATGGCCATTACATGGAGATGTGTGCTTATTAGAAGCTGGACCCTCAGGCAGCAGCTTCTAAAATATGCAGTCAACCTCCTTCCAGGAGAAGAGTGTTTGCGTGCTACCTCTTTGCTGAGCCCTGGGAGAAAAGCCAGAGGAAATGTTTGTGTTCCTATCATACACTATTAAGAACTACTTCTTTGTTTTCTATAAGCCTGTGGGACTCATGAACACATGCCTTGGTGGCTTTCAGAACTAAGTGTTTTGCAAATCCGTATCTTCAGTGGGAGTCTTCAATCTGGGGCAATAACTGTGCAGTCCAAACTCTTCAATTCTCAGGGAGAAGCTGGCAGTTGGGGGTTCCCTCCTGATTATATGGCACTGTGCTGGGAGCAGGTTTATTGTAAGAGAGAGTATTTTCTTATTTTCCCAATGTGTAGAAGTCACTCAGCTAGTTTCTGGATTTCTCTCAGAGGGAACTGCTCCATGCATAGCAACACTGAGTGTGCCCAGGAGAGGAGGGAAATTCAGGAGGCTGCTATGTCACCATCTTGGTCCCAGTCCATTCTGAGGTTTTTGATATTTGCCCTCCTCCTTTTCAGTGGAGAATTTTGTATTAGTCTGGTTTTTAAAGTTGATAATATTTCATAATTTAGAGTAATATTTACATTATTGTGTATTTAAATCATAGAACTTGACCCAGTTTTCTTGCTCTGAAACACAGCCAATATGGTAACAGTTATAATGTATTTCTATCATTTCTTTTTTTTTTTAGATTTATTTATTTGAGAGAGAGAGAGAAAGAGAGAGAGTGTGAGCAGGGGGAGGGGCAAAGGGAGAGGGAGAGAATTTCAAGCAGACAACCCACTGAGTGCAGAGCCTGAAACAGGGCTCAAACTCACAACCCTGAGATCATAACTTGAACCAACTTCAAGAGTTGGACACTTAACCGACTGAGCCACCCAGGAGCCCCTCTATCATTTCTTTATAAATAAATTATATCCAGACATTTTTTCTATAGGGAGAATACCTATAGTTAATAGTTAATGTCAGTTACTCACTCAAAAAGAAAACTTCTAAAAACCGTTAACGAAATACCACCATATATCTATTAGAACTAAAATAAAAAGCTGATAGTAGTCAGTGCTAATGAGGCTGCAGAGAAGATGAATCTCTCAAACACTGCTGGTGAGAATCTCTGAAAAACAGCCTGGCAATTTCTTGCAAAACTAAACACGCACTAACCATATAACCCAGCAATTGCATCCTTGGGCATTTATTACAAAGAAATGAAATCCTGGGGCACCTGGGTGGCTCAGTTGTTAAGCGTCTGCCTTCGGCTCAGGTCATGATACCACGGTCCTGGGATCAAGCCCTACATCAGGCTCCCTGCTCACCAAGAAGCCTGCTTCTCCCTCTCCCACTCCCCCTGCTAGTGTTCCTGCTTTCACTGTGTCTCTCTCTGTCAAATAAATAAATAAAATCTTAAAAAAAAAAGAAAAAAGAAAGAAAAGGAAATCCTCTGTTCACACAAAAACCCTTACATGAATGTTCATAGCAGCTTCATTACCAAAACAACCCAAATGTTCTCCAGTGGGTGAAAGGTTGAAAAACCCTGGTATATCCATATTAATAGAATACTATGCAGCTATAAAATGGTATGAATCATACTATGTTGACCTCAAGAGCATTTAGTTTAGTGAAAAAAGTTAATCTTGTCATCCTTGTCTGTGTGAAAGTTATATTTAAACAGTAATTAATCAATTGTCTCTACAGGGTCTAACTATCTCAGTTTACGTACATTTTTGTTAGTGTGAATTGTCTCTCAAGGGGGAGGTGCCCATTTCAGAAAGTTTTCATTATGACAAAATATTACGACTAACATTTCCTAAATCTGATTATATTTGATTCCTGAAAATTATTTCCACATTTTAGCATATATATATATATTTTTTTTCTTTTAAGATTTTATTTATTTATCTGAGAGATATAGAATGAGAGACAGAGAGCATGAGAGGGAGGAGGGTCAGAGGGAGAAGCAGACTCCCTGCCGAGCAGGGAGCCCGATGCGGGACTCCATCCTGGGACTCCATCCTGGGACTCCAGGATCATGACCTGAGCCGAAGGCAGTCGCTTAACCAACTGAGCCACCCAGGCGCCCAGCATATGTATTTTTTTAATATTTTCAATTTGTAACCTAGATTCTCTGTTTTGAGGGAAGGAACAGTGTCACAAGTTCCAGCAAATTTCTTGTATTTTTCACATTACATTTCAAATTTATCAAAAATTTGGCATTTTCCACATGCTAATTTTTTTAACAATTTTAAAATTGGAAATATTAGTTTTTCTAAATTATAAGCATAAATTTTTCTACTAATGTATATCTTCAATTTTGTTATAAGTCATCTGAAATATAAAATTTACTTTTTACTTATAGCAAATTTTGAAGGATTGCTATTTCATTTATTAATAGATTTCTTTTAATATCATTATAATATTAAAAACTGAAATGATAAGAACACTTAATAAACCCCTCATTATACTCCAGAAATAGGTAAAAATACTTCAACCATGCCACCAACCGTGTCCCACTGCACTTCACACAGCTGTATCTTTTTTAAAGATTTTATTTTTAAGTAAATTCAACACCCAACGTGCGGCTCAAACCTACAACCCCAAGATCAAGAGCTGCATGTTCCAGTGACTGAGCCAGCCAGGCACCCCTACACACCTGTCTTAACCCCAATCAACTCAATATATAACCTTCTACCAGGGCAATAAATCTGAACCTATTTCTTTAAGGTAAATTTTACTTGATGCCTATCTTCTAGGCAAACAGTAGCAGCTTTGTTCTTCACCTTTTCCTTCCCCTGCCATTCTCACATATAACACATATAGAGACAACATATACTTTCTGAATTTGACTAAAGAGATTAATAATCAAGACCAACGGCAGGAAAACAAAGAAATTCCAAAAGAAAACCCAATTACCAAAAAAGAATTCCAAAATTCTATTGAAATTAAAGAATAGTTGTAGAGATTAAATAGATCTTAGGATAGAAGTGATAATAGAAGAGACAAAGAGTAGCAGATAGCAGATTCATGAAAGAAAGAGTAGTGAACAGAAGATACCAAAGAGAAGGCGGTGGCTTGCTTATATCATTGTCACATATTAAATTTTCTCCTCAAAACTTAGAAAAGGAATGCAAAACACACAAACACATACAAATCAATAATCACAAAGATAAAGATAGATATTTCATACTTGTGTGGTGATGGCCAAGTACTGGGATCCTGAAGTACCACACCAAGAGCATAAAGAACAAGGGTCTGCAAAAAAATTACTCTAGTTAGTCAAGGCCTAACAGAGACAAAATGACTGCCAAAAAGCCAACTCATCCTAAATGCTCTTTTAATATAGATGAGAATAAAATAAAAACAGGAAATAATAATACACAGGTCATTATTTTGATGATTTTACAGCGGAGAAGGCCTCCCTAAGCATGTCAAAATCTGGCAGTCATAAAGGAATAACAGACTTAACTATGAAAATTTAAAACCTGCATCCAGTAAAAACAAAACACACCAAAATCACCAGTAAAAGATAAATAATAGGAAAAATATGTTTTCCATATAACTGACCGTTAGTATGTACAATATACAAAAAGACGTATAAGCTCACTAGAAAGAAGTGAGTTACAAGCACATAATTCACAAAAGAAGAAATACAAACTGATAAATATGTACGAAAAGCTGCTCAATCTCTCCAATGATCAGGGAAAAGCAAATTAAAATAATGAGACAGTATTTCATATAAGAAATATATATAAAAATCATAAATCCAGAAGTAGTGAGAATATGGAGAGAAATAGCATTCTCATACACTGTCGCTGAAAATATAAATTGCCTCTTAGAGGGCAATTTAAATTTAACATAAATAGCACTTTGACCCCAAAACTCTATTTCTAAGGCTCTACTCAATACCTATACAAGTATATAATTTGTAATAACAAAAAAATTAATGTAATCTAAATTTCCATCAATGGAGACTGCTTAAATAAACTGTAACACACTCATGCGATGGAATACTATATATCCATTAAAAATAATGAGTTGAAAAAAAAATGAGTTGGATCTGTATCAAGTACTAGTTGTACTAATAAGTAATAACCACACCTAATGAAAAAAGCAAATTAATGAATGATATATGAACAGCAACTTTTCACATATAAATTCAGTTTTTAAAATACACATGTGTATATACACATACAGAGTAATATATATACATAGAAAAAGACCTATAAAAATACACAGTAAAGTATTAGCAGTAGTACATGCGAGGAAGGGAGCCTTTCTTTTATATTGCTTATACCCTAAAACAGCATATATTATTCTCATTTAAAATAACTATGTCTTTGATTTAATAATAGGTATCATTTATTAGACATTTTAGACAATACAATTCAAAACCACACGCTAAAAGAGTTGAAAAGAATAACTGAATGAGTTAAGTATACCGAATGTTTCCTACCTCTCTAGGAATAATAAATTTGTCAATCTTTCCTTCAACATCTTGAAGGCGGGCAGAAACTGGGGTCAGTTTGGCAGTCCGAACAGTTTCACAAAGTACTTGCCGACAATATCTGTTTTAAAGTTTTTTTACAGTTCTTAACTCTGGGAAAGGCAGTTTGAAATGTACATACATTTTTAACAACTTTAATAACCTTTCTAATTGGAAATAGTCACATCATAATTCTAATTTGCTTGAAAATAAGTTATATATTAGAGGTATATAAAGTCCAGGTAGGTATAAATTTAAACAAATAAAAACAACTTTAAAAGTACCAGAAGAAAACTCAAAACAGTATTTCTATAATTTTTAAGTAGGAAAGTCCTTTATTGTTAAGAAATTTTAAAAATTTTAATAAAGAACTTTCCTACTCAAAAATTATAAAAATACCGACACAATGACAGAAACCATAAAGAAAAATACACGTAATCCAACTATGGAAAATTTTTTTGCATATTTAAAAAAATATTAGGCGTACATCACAATAAGAATAAAAGCTAAAATGTACTGAAATCTTACCAAAAGCCAGTTCTATTAAATACTTTCTATGTAGTATCTCATTTAATCCTTATAAGAACCTCAGGGATGCTATTATTATTCTAATTTTATAGATTTTTAGAAATAAGGCAATTGTTTAAGATCACATAGCAGGGAAGTGGTATCAACAGGATTCAAACCCAGGTCTACCTTATTCCATAGCCCGTAATCATAAATACTAAACTATTGTATATATCATTAAAAAATAATCCCATTTCCAGGACTTTATTAATAGCAACAACTGGAAATATTTAAAAAATGCCAAGCATAGGACTGTTGATTGTTTATAATATTTTAAAAACAACAAAAACAAAAAAGGAAAATCCTTCCTTTCCTCTTTGAACCACTATTTATTGGGTACCTACTACATTAGATGCACCGTGTTAGATACTGAACTACAACAGTGAGTAAGACAGATACCCACAAAGGGATTCAAGGTCTACTTGGCAGGGAAAGCGAGAGAGGTAGGGCCAGCAAGGGTAACAATTTAAAAAGCACAGTAAGTGTTATGATAAAGGCAGGTCAGGATTTTGGAGAACATACGGCAGGAGCACATAACTAAAGAAAGGACTTTGCAGAGAAATAAGCACTTTAGGCTGAGACCTGCAGAAAAAACTGGAGCTAGGTAGAAGAGAAAGGAAGAATGTAGACAAAGGAGTAGTCTGCAAAAGCCAAGAGATGAGAAAGAGTACTATAGCTTTGAAGAAACAAAAGAATTTCAGTATAGCTAAAACTAAGGTATGAAGAGGCACAAATAACAAGAGGTAAGGTGGGAAAGGAATATAAGGCCCAGCTCTTGAAATGCCTCCTAAGCCATGTTGATGAGTTTAAATTTTATCTTAAGGGCAACCAGAGATCACTGAAAGATTTTAAACTGGGGAGTCATCTGCCCAGATGTTGACTCCTCAGGTACAGAAAGATTACTAGTACAGTGATTCTCAACATTAGAATTAGAGCATATTGGAATCATCTATGAAGCTTTTGAAAACTTCTGATGCCCAAAGACTGTTGATTTGGAATTGGTCCTCGGTTATCTTTATGGTTAAAACACCCAAAGTGTTTACTGTGTGCAGTCACAGGCTCCAGTAGCAATTTGAAAACTGGATTAGAAGGCTGCAAGATCCAAGGCTGCTGAAATATCCCAGGCAAGCTGATGGTCTGAATAGTGGGGACAATAAAAAGAACTAAAATTAAACTTCCAGGGACGCCTGGGTGGCTCAGTCGTTTAAGCATCTGCCTTCGGCTCAGGTCATGATCCCAGGGTCCTGGGATCGAGTCCTGCATCAGGCTCCCCGCTTGCCTGCCTCTCCCCCTGCTTGTGCCCTCTCTCTCTCTTTCTCTGACAGATAAATAAAATCTTTAAAAACAACAACAACAACAACAACAACAACAACAAACTTCCAACTAAAAGTTATTTGGAAAGTCAAATCAACAGAACTTAATCACTGAGTGTAGTAGAGTTATACATATAAGAATACTGTCCACAAAATATTTAGAGAAAAGATGGAATTTACAGAAGAATTATATTTTTTTTATATTTTAGAACATTTGAAATTTTTTACTTTGAATATATATGTATATAGGCATAGAAAAAATCTGGAAAAATAGTAAAGATAGTTAACAACTGTCATCTCTTTAGGATATATTTACAAAAACCCTTCACCTTCTACTTCATACACTTCTGTATTATAAAAACTTCAAAGAACAAGTGTTACTTCTAAAATGAAAAATAGTTATATTCAAGGTAATAAACAAAACTTCCAAGATTTTGAAGAATTTGTAACAGAAGTCTCCTTATCTTCTTTTCTATAATTAAAAGAGGCTCCAAAGTACGGTTGGTTGCCTGCTGTCCAGGCTCAGACTTCCAACACCCTAAGCAGTCACAGTTGTTATTTTAAAAAATCCTTTTAGAGTGCCTGGGTGGCTCAGTCGGTTAAGCGTCTGGCTCATGTCATGATCCCGGGGTCCTGGGATCAAGTCCTGCATCAGGCTCCCTGCTCAGCAGGGAATCTGCTTCTCCCTCTCCCTCCCCTGCTCTCTCTTTCTCTCTCTGTTCAAATAAATCAATAAAATCTTTATAAAAATAAAGAGAAAAAAATCTTTTTAATTAAGATTATCTACATATAAAAATTCATCTATTTTACTTGTATAATGTGATGAATTTTAGTAATTGTGTATAATTGTGTTACCACAACCACCATCAAGATACAGAACAGTTCCCTCACCCTAAAAACTTTTCTCATTCCCCCTGCTAGTTGATACCCTCCCCATTCCTGGCCCCAGACAACCACTGATCCCCTTTCTACCACAACAGTTTTGCCTCTTCTAGAATTTCACCTTAAGGAAGTTATATTGTATGCAGTCTTTGTGTTTGACTTCTTTCACTTAACATAATGACATTTAACCACATTGTTGTATATATTGATAAGATATTATCTTTTACCACTTGATAATATTCCATGGTACAGATATAACACAATTGGTTTATCTATTCACTCTGACGAACATCTGGGCTGTTTCCAGCTTTTTGCTATCATGAATAATATTGCTATGAACATTTGCATAAAGGTCTCTGTGTGGACATATTTTTTCACTTCTCTTGGGTAAATACCTTGGAGAATTTCTGGGTTGTATGGTAAGTGTATGTTTAGCTGCCACACTGTTTTCCAACAGGTCTGTACAATTTTGCATTTCCATCAACAAGATATGAGTGCTTTACTTACTTGAACATCACTGATACTATTTTATATAGTCTAATGTAAAGGTTTCCCAAAACTACCTTATTATTTTACTTATTTATCTGACACAGAGAGAGAGCACAAGCAGGGGGAATGGCAGATGGAGAGGGAGAAGCAGGTTCCCCACTAAGCAAGAAGCCCGATGAGGGGCCCCATCCCAACCTGAGCCAAAGGCAGATGCTTAACCAACTACCTACCTTATGATTTTAAAGAGCAAATTAAATTATCTAATAAAATCTGTATGTAAACATTTTAAGTCCTTTAAAAATATGTACCTTTCCTAGATATTATCATTAGCTTTAAATAAGATAGTTAAACCAACTCAAATTTACCTGTTAATGATATCCTCTTCTTTTTATTGTATTCTTACCTGAGCTGCTCGATTTTCTCTGGAGTAATAGGATCCTTCCCCAAAACTTGGTCTATCTCTTCATAAAGTTTTTTCTGAACCTCTTCAAAGGTGGTTAAAAAACAGATTGCCCAGGTGCACACTAAGTAAAAATTTACATTCATAACAATGAAAATAGCTAATTGATAGTTTGGGTGCAGAATAAGATAAAACATACTATTTTTTTCTTGTGTTTTCCTTCTCTTCTGATATGGAAGACACATAAATGCTACCAAAAAAATACCACGATTATTCACAGGATTTGTACCTCATTGAACATAACATGAATATTTATAGAATACTCCTAAAGAGATCTACAATTGCTTTCTTAAAACTGGCAAGTAACTGAAGACAAAAATGCATTTTATTTTTGGTAAAATAGTAATGATAATAAATAAACTTCATTATCTGAAGGAGTGTTAAATGTTGGTAACTGTAATGGATTGTCTAGTTCACCCAACCCTGTGTAATAAAAATACTGATTTATTAGTTCCTTCAGGAGACCTAATGAAATGATTCATACAAATCAGAGTAGCAGGAGATTTACCTATAAATCAATATTCTAAATTTTTACTTGTAATGGTAGATACACTGGTTCAGGAATTGGTATTGGTTATTGCTTAGGACAATAGTTCTCTAAAATCACCTGGGAATTGGTTGATGGCACAACCCCACATTCACAGACTCTGATTCAATAGGTTTAGGGTGGAGTCCAGGCATCTGTACTTCCAACAAATACCACAATTATTTTGATGAACACCAAGATTGGAAGATCACTGAACTTACAGGCTTACTTTTGCTTAAAATGGCTTATAGATTATACTCACTGAGGAAATGAAAAGGTAAGAAAATTACATGATGAACATAAAACAGAGAAAATAAGAGAAGTTATATTTCCTGTAGAAATCCACTGGGATTATAATTATTCAAAGAATGGAACTATCCAGATACCTTCCAGATACTAGTACCTCTTACCCTAGATTATGCTTGAGATGACTCTATCTATACTACTTTCTTCTGTGTCAACCACTTTTAAAAACGTATTTAGTAATTTCTACTTCTACTTATTAATGATCTCCTTCTTGAACTAAGGGCTGACTTAAATTTGTCTCAGTTACTTTTTTTTTAATGTTTGCCTAATTCACGTATCCAATTCTTATGCCTAGAAAGGACATAATTCATTTTCTGTACTAAATGGTATTATCAATAAAATTAATACCTACCTGGTACTCAACTTTTTTTTATAATTTATTCATATTCAGAGTTTATAAAAAGGCACACGAGTAACTGCCTGTCTTAAGTTTTTCCTACGTATACTTCTTTATTAGGGCTTTTGAATGAACTATAGAATTTCTGCTTCACAAGTGATATGAAAACTTGTGCAGACAGTGTACAATATGTACATGTTTGTAATATTACAAAATACAGTAATATACAATATTGAAAGATTTACTACAAGGATATGCACAGAGTAGGCACTCATAAACCCTGCTTCACCATATTATCACTTAAAATTAACATAACTATATGGTTTAATAATCTCAAACATTGGTTCTTTTGTAGAACTCTGAAGTATGACTGAGCATAGCTTAAAAATAATATTTTAAGTCATGAATGTTCTTTAATCATGATACTGAACCAAAGACACAACTGCAGATTTGAGAATACCTTGGAGGTCATCTAGACCTAAACTGTTATTTTAAAAAAGGAAAAAAATGCAGAGGCAACTATCTTGCTCAAGGCTAATAAGTAGCAGAGGATTAAAGTTTCCTGCCTATCTTGACTCTCAAAAAAATTCAGAGGTACCTTAAAAAATAACTAACCCATATGCAAAGAAACAGTGATAGTCTGAAATCCTCCCTAAAAGCTGCAATAATATTAAAATATTAAACCAACTTTGGAAATGGTCACTTTTTTGCTCTGTATCCAGAGCACAACTGCTTCAGATTTTCTGAAGGTCTTTAGCAAAGATATAGTTTAATAATGTAGTAAATTTTTAAAAAAACAAGGTAAGCACTCTTTAAAGAAGTTCAATACATTATTTTGACACATACACACCCAGATCCCATTTAACCTATAATACCTGGACATCTCTAGATGTCAAAAATTTTATAAAGAAGAAAAACTTATGGGAAGTTTGCATTTTTAATCGCTGTTTTTAAACAGAAAGAGTTGTAAATGAAATCCTTCAAATGATCATAAATTTCTTCTATTTCAAACTGATGTTTTGATACTTCCTTTAGCATTTTATATCAGTATATTTTTATAAACATACACAAGTTTTTATAAATACCATATGAATGAATGGTACTCTGCTAAACTAAAAAGCAGTAAGGAAACTTAGAAACATATCACACATTTTAGAATTTTAAATAAAAATCACCTTCGATTCCACCAAGAGAGGAGTTCTTTTAAATCGTGATTTCTGTGGCCTATATTCTCTGTTGGTAGACCTTAATAATAGCAAACTGGATTGGAGTCAAAGTGAAAAGCCGCAGCAAGAAATTGAAAAGCTCACTGCTCTGGTTGGAAAGGTGTCAATAACAGTTCATTTTAAAGGCACTAACTAGAATTCACAATCCATAAACCGTGTCAAGAAATTTATGGCAATGTTCAGAGGTGGCATAGAGCACCTGGGGTTAAGAAAAAAAAAAAACGGTAGCTGTGTGAATCAAGCCTTTCAAACAAGAATAAAAAAGAAAAGAAAAGGGAAATTATAAAGAGGTCTTGCAAACAATGTTTCCTTTATTTTAGCCATGTATATTTTATAATCTATCTCAAAAAGAAATCAATTATACTTACATTTTGCAGTTATTACACAACTGGCCAGAGAAAATATCATACTGTCTTCAAGGATCTAGGAGAGAAAACTAAGTTTAGAAAGTGTAAAATATAAGGTGGCCTGTATTAGACCCTATCAAAATAACCTATAGTATAGAATTAGGGTCAAGGAAAGGAAAAATGAATATTATTTCTTTATAATGTTTTCACTTAAAAAAATCGAATGTAAAAACCAACCTAAATACTGCATTGCCTTTTTGATGCAATAAACATTTTTTGGTAGTTCTCACTGGCTCATGCTTTGTGTTTTGTCTTTTTTTTTTTAAAGATTTTATTTATTTATTTGAGAGAGAGAGAGAATGAGAGACAGAGAGCATGAGAGGGAGGAGGGTCAGAGGGAGAAGCAGACTCCCCGCCGAGCAGGGAGCCCAATGCGGGACTCGATCCCGGGACTCCAGGATCATGACCTGAGCCGAAGGCAGTCGCCCAACCAACTGAGCCACCCAGGCGCCCCGCTTTGTTTTTGCAAACAAACTGCCTCAGTGCTATCTTTCTGGCTTGGCCTGGTGCAGCAACAAAGCCTCAGGAACAGCGGAGAAGAGGCTGCCACTATCCTTGGAGCCTTATTCAATTCTGCACCTACACACATCCAGAAACCCATTCTGTCTATGAAGACTCACATGTGTAGAGTGGGCAGAAGGTTCCTATAATGAACCACAGGTGTGGTAATAATGGCTCCACTCTTGTCCTTTGCCTGACAACACCGCAAACACAGTGGTATGTTGGGGCTGACCGAGCGCTTTGGGAACAAGCCAAGCTGCCAACCTAGTCAGGTGAGTCCTCCTCTTTTATGATCAGAGAATTTTGATTCAACATTTCCTTACACAATATTAAATAATATACAGCTGCTTCAAAGAGCTAAATAACAAGAGACTAAATACCTGTACTATTTACAGATGATGTACAATAAAACAGAAGCCATTGAATTTTGGGAGTGCATCTGGATTAAAGTGAATACAAAGCACACTATACATGTGTGATTATTGTTTACTTGATAAACATTTAACAATTACATCACCTGTTGGTCATTAAGGTTCCCATGTACTAAGGAGTCAATGAAAATATGTTGACCGAAGTTTCCTCCTTTTCGTTCTTTTATGATTTTCTTTAAAATAGATTCCAGTTGTCTAAGGGCTAAGAGAAAAAATACAAAAAAGATTTTAGAATATAAGCATTTGTAAAAATTGAACATTTTTTAATATTTCTGTACAATGTTGCTATGTGCAGAATAAAACTTTCCAAAAAAAGAGTTGTAACCAACAATTTTTCAAAGCTAATTTGTTTAAATTCATCAATTTTATTTTCCTTCTTTTTTGCTAAATTTTACATACAGAAAGCTGCAAATACCATCTATGTACAATTTAAGGAATAATTACAAAGCAAAGACCCATAATATCACCACCCAGGTCAAGAACGGGAACTAACGCCAACACCTTGAAGGCCTCCACACACATAAACGTCTCCCCTGATACTACCTACTTCCCTTCTAAAGTCTGTCCTCTTTTTTTTTTTTTTTAGATTTTATTTATTATGTGAGAGAGAGACAGAGAATGCGAGAGAGCACAAGGAGTGGAGAGGGAGAAGCAGGCTTCCCGCAGAGCAGGGAGGCCGATGTGGGGCTCGATCTCAGGACCCTGATCAAACACTATCCAGGTGTTAAGATTTTCATTTAGATCTTGGGATTCCATGCCCTCTTGGACCCCACACTTTCCCCCACTTTCCTGCCTGCTCATTCTCAGTCTCCTTTCAATGATTCCTTCTCATCTCTCCTATTTCTTAATGAGAGAATGTCTAAGGTCAGGAGTCAGTTTTTGGACCTCTTTTCTTTTTTTTTTTTTGCTGATGCACTATTCTTTTTTTTATTATTATGTTATGTTAATCACCATACATTACATCATTAGTTTTTGATGTAGTGTTCCATGATTCATTGTTTGCGTATAACACCCAGTGCTCCATTCAATATGTGCCCTCTTTAATACCCATCACCAGGCTAACCCATCCCCCCACCCCGCTCCCATCTAGAACCCTCAGTTTGTTTCTCAGAGCCCATAGTCTCTCATGGTTCTTCTCCCCCTCTGCCTTCTCCCCCTTCATTTTTCCCTTCCGGCTAACTTCTTTTTTTTTTTTTTTTTAACAGATATTGCATTATTTGTTTCAGAGGTACAGGTCTGTGATTCATCAGTCTTACACAATTCACAGCACTCACCATAGCACATACCCTCCCCAATGTCTATCACCCAGCCACCCCATCCCTCCCACCCCACCCCCCACTCCAGCAGCCCTCAGTTTGTTTCCTGAGGTTAAGAATTCCTCATATCAGTGAGATCATATGATACATGTCTTTCTCTGATTGACTTATTTCGCTCAGCATAATACCCTTTAGTTCCATCCATGTCATTGCAAATGGCAAGATTTAATTCCTTCTGATGGCTGCATAATATTCCACTGTATATATATACCACATCTTTATCCATTCATCTGTTGATGGACATCTTGGCGCTTTCCATAGTTTAGCTATTGTGGACATTGCTGCTATAAACATCAGGGTACACACACCCCTTTGGATCCCTACATTTGTATCTTTGGCAGGCGAGAATTCTACCACTGAACCACCAATGCACATTTGTATCTTTGGGGTAAATACCCAGTAGTGCAATTGCTGGGTCGTACGGTAGCTCTATTTTCAACTTTCTGAGGAACCTCCATACTGTTTCCCAGAGTGGCTGCACCAGCTTGCATTCCCACCAACAGTGTAGGAGGGTTCCCCTTTCTCTGCATCCCCACCACATCTATCGTTTCCTGACTTGTTCATTTTAGACATTCTGACTGGTGTGAGGTGGTATCTCACTGAGGTTTTGATTTGGATTTCCCTGATGCCGAGCGATGCTGAGCATGTTTTCATGTGTCTGTTGGCCATTTGGATGTCTTCTTTGGAAAAATGTCTGTTTATGTCTTCTGCCCATTTCTTGATTGGATCATTTGTTCTTTGGGTGTTGAGTTTGATAAGTTATTTATAGATTTTGGATACTAGCCCTTTATCTGATATGTCATTTGCAAATATCTTCTCCCATTCTGTCAGTTGTCTTTTGGTTTTGTTGACTGTTTCTTTTGCTGTACAAAAGCTTTTTATCTGGATCAAGTCCCAATCATTTTTGCCCTTGCTTCCCTTCCCTCTGGCAATGTTTCTAGGAAAAAGTTGCTGCGGCTGAGGTCAAAGAGTTGTTCTCCTCAAGGATTTTGATGGATTCCTGTCTCACAGTTATGTCTTTCAGCCATTTTGAGTCTATTTTTGTGTGTGGTGTAAGGAAATGGTCCAGTTTCATTCTTCTGCATGTGGCTGTCCAATTTTCCCAACACCATTTTTTGAAGAGACTGTCTTTTTTCCATTGGATATTCTTTCTTGCTTTTTTGAAGATTAGTTGACCCTAGAGTTGAGGGTCCATTTCTGGGCTCTCTATTCTGTTCCACTGGTCTATGTGTCTGTTTTTGTGCCAGCACCATACTGTCTTGATGATGACAGCTTTGTAATAGAGCTTGAAATCCGGAATTGTGATGCCACCAGCTTTGCTTTTCTTTTTCAACATTCCTCTGGCTATTCGGGGTCTTTTCTGGTTCCATACAAATTTTAGGATTATTTGTTCCATTTCTTTGAAAAAAGTGGATGGTATTTTGATAGGGATTGCATTGAATGTGTAGATTGCTCTAGGTAGCATTGACATCTTCACAATATTTGTTCTTCCAGTCCATGAGAATGGAACATTTTTCCATTTCTTTGTGTCTTCCTTAATTTCTTTCATGACTATTTTATAGTTTTCTGAGTACAGATTCTTTGCCTCTTTGGTTAGATTTATTCCTAGGTATCTTATGGTTTTGGGTGCAATTGTAAATGGGATCGACTCCTTAATTTCTCTTTCTACTGTCTTGTTGGTGTATAGGAATGCCACTGATTTCTGTGCATTGATTTTATATCCTGCCACTTTACTGAATTCCTGTATGAGTTCTAGCAGTTTTGGAGTGGAGTCCTTTGGGTTTTCCACATAAAGTATCACATCATCTGCAAAGAGTGAGAGTTTGACTTCTTCTTTGCCGATTTGGAAGCCTTTTATTTCTTTCTGTTGTCTGATTGCTGTGGCTAGGACTTCTAATACTATGTTGAATAGCAGTGGTGATAGGGGACATCCCTGTCATGTTCCTGACCTTAGGGGGAAAGCTCTCAGTTCCTCCCTGTTGAGAATGATATTCGCTGTGGGTTTTTCATAGATGGCTTTTATGATATTGAGGTATGTACCCTCTATCCCTATACTCTGAGGAGTTTTCATCAAGAAAGGATGCTGTACTTTGTCAAATGTTTTTTCCACATCTATTACGAGGATCCATATGGTTCTTATCCTTTCTTTTATTAATGTATTGTATCACATTGATTGATTTGCAGATGTTGAACCAACCTTGCAGCCCAGGGATAAATCCCACTTGGTCGTGGTGGATAATCCTTTTAATGTACTGTTGGATCCTATTGGCTAGTATTTTGGTGAGAATTTTTGTATCCATGTTCATCAAGGATATTGGTCTGTAATTCTCCTTTTTGATGGGGTCTTTGTCTGATTTGGGGATCAAGGTAATGGTGGCCTCATAAAATGAGTTTGGAAGTTTTCCTTCCATTTCTGTTTTTCTGGAACAGTTTCAGAAGAATAGGTATTAATTCTTGAAATGTTTGGTAGAATTCCCCTTTGTTTGTTGGGAGATTTTTGATGACTGCTTCAATTTCCTTAGTGGTTATAGGTCTGTTCAGGTTTTCTATTTCTTCTTGGTTCAGTTTTGTTAGTTTATACATCTCTAGGAATGCATCCATTTCTTCCAGGTTATCTAATTTGCTGGCATATAGTTGCTCATAATATGTTCTTATAATTGTTTTTATTTCTTTCGTGTTGGTTGTGATCTCTCTTTCATTCATGATTTTGTTTATTTGGATCCTTTCTCTTTTCTTTTTGGTAAGTCTGGCCAGGGGTTTATCAATCTTGTTAATTCTTTCAAAGAACCAGCTCCTAGTTTCATTGATCTGTTCTACTGTTCTTTGGTTTCTATTTGATTGATTTCTGCTCTGATCTTTATTATTTCTCTTCTCCTGCTGGGTTTAGGCTTTATTTGCTGTTCTTTCTCCAGCTCCTTTAGGTGTAGGGTTAGGTTGTGTATTTGAGACCTTTCCTGTTTCTTGAGAAAGGCTTGTATTGCTATATACTTTCCTCTTAGGACTGCCTTTGCTGCATCCCAAGGATTTGGAATAGTTGTGTTTTCATTTTCATTTGTTTCCATGAAGTTTTTAAATTCTTTAATTTCCTGGTCGACCCATTCATTCTTTAGTAGGATGCTCTTTAGCCTCCATGTACTTGAGTTCTTTCTGACTTTCCTCTTGTGATTGAGATCTAGTTTCAAAGCATTGTGGTCTGAAAATATGCAGGGAATGATCCCAATCTTTTGGTACCAGTTGAGACCTGATTTATGACCTAGGATGTTATCTGTTCTGGAGAATGTTCCATGGGCACTAGAGAAGAATGTGTATTCTGTTGCTTTGGGATGGAATGTTCTGAATATATCTGTGAAGTCCATTTGGTCCAGGGTGTCATTTAAAGTCTTTATTTCCTTGTTGATCTTTTGCTTAGATGATCTATTTCAGTGAGGAGGGTGTAAAAGTTCCCCACTATTGTTGTATTGTTGTCAACGTGTTTCTTTGCTTTTGTTATTAATTGGCTTATATAATTGGCTGCTCCCATGTTAGGGGCATAAATATTTACAGTCGTTAGATCTTCTTGTTGGATAGACCCTTTAAGTAGGATATAGTGTCCTTCATCATCTCTTATTACAGTCTTTGGTTTAAAATCTAATTTGTCTGATATACGGATTGCCACCCCAGCTTTCTTTTGGTGTCCATTAGCATGGTAAATGGTTTTCCACCCCCTCACTTTCAATCTGGGGGTGTTTTGGGGTCTAAAATGAGTCTCTTGCAGACAGCATATCAATGGGTCTTGTTTTTTTATCCAATCTGATAGCCTGTGTCTTTTGATTGGGGCATTTAGCCCATTTACATTCGGGGTAACTATTGAAAGATATGAATTTAGTGCCACTGTATTGCCTGTAAG